GAGGTTTGGGCAGAGGCCAGGGTGGAAATGTCCCAGCTCCTGAGGGTGCAGAAAAGCCAGGGCTTCTACTGTTTGCCAAGACTGAGAACCCTTACAGGAAATACAGAACAGAGGCTGGGCCCTGGAGCCCCTAGATGAGAAGAGGTATCTGGGGACTCAGGGACCACTGCTATTCTGTTGAGGGAAGTAAAACATTAGGTTCCAGAGGCTTGTGGGGCAGAGGGCAGGGCTGGGAGCTTCTAAGTAGATGGAAGATTTGGTCAACATTATACCCTAGATGCCCAAGACTGGAACCAAAGTAGGAGGCAGTGTGACAAAATGGGGATGCGCCTAGGCCTGGCTCTCCCATTACCTTGGTCTGACCCTAGGCAAGACCTACTCTAGCTGCAGCTCTGATGCATAGTGGGGGGACAGAAACCATAGAGTTCAGGAACTTCTAGCCCTAACCAAACAGGCAGAATCAGTGCCAGACAGATGGGGTGGGGTCTCCACACTCACAACCCCAAGGTTGGGGGGTCCCAGGGAATAGACACTGTCCTGGAGACTCCCCTGAGCTCCCTCTTAGGGCTTTTCCCCTTGGAAGCCACCAAAAGAAGAAGAAGAATCAGTGCACAAGAACTCCAGGATTTGGCCCAAGGCTCAGGGCTTCCTGATCCATGAAGCAAGAGAACTAGAGGAAGAGGAGTCACACAGCTGAGCCAGGATGAGGAGGGGTCCAAAATCAGAGAATGGAAGAAAGAGCCAGAGAGTCAATGCAAACCCCATAGGAAAGGGATGGAGGCCAGATGGTATAAGAAATGCTCCCAGAGTTGAGCCCTGGTACAAAAAGGACAGGGAGGCCACATGTTCTGACCTCCTCTAACCCTACAAGAGGAAGACAGGATTACCAGCAGTAACCCAAGGCCTATTACTGCAAGGCCAGACATGCTGCCTCCCTCCAGCCTTTTCTCCAACCGTTCCTCCCAAAGCACCCACCACCTCTCTCCTGGGTTCGATAATTCGCTGCAGTGGCCACACAGAACTCACAGATTATGGGGTTTATTAGGGAAGCACCACAGGCTACAATTCAAGGCCAGGAAAAATGCTCAGTCTCTCTCCCAGCCCACCGTCCCTCAGCCAGCAGTCTCTCACAGTCTCTTTCCCAGCAGTGCTGGTCCCTCGCTGTCTCACTCAGCAATGCGTGTCTCTTGTGTCTCTTTCCCAGCAACGCGTGTCTCAGGAGCCCATGTCTCTTTCAGCAGCACGTCTTCCTCAACCAGCAGTCAGAGAGAGTTCTGCTCCTTTTGACCCCAGCAGGGTGGTCAAACTAGCCAATCACAGCATCAGAACTCTAAGCACCTGAGAGAGAGTGGGAACCTCCCAGAACATTGTTTTGTGCCACTCCCAACAGAAATACTCCAGGTGGGCAATCAGGATCTCCTCAGTTGCTAATAGCAATTCCCACCTTGGAGTTTACAAAGACTTATGGGTAGAAAAGCCACACTAAGTAATTTACTACACTGGCACCTGGGCAATGGAAGTATGATGAGGACCCGGGACCCTAATGGGAAAGAACTCAGAGTGGGCTGACTCCAAAGTCTGGGGGTCCCACAGATAATGTAGAGCTAGGCTGCTGGCCCTGAGGCCAGCCATATCCTGTCTCTTGGGTTCTGGGAGAACAAGGACAATGTGGTTCCTTGAAAGAAAACAAGGAGGAGGTTTGGAAGTAAGTGAGGAAGCCTGTGAGTAACTTCACTGTGGAAACTACCGAAAAAAAGTCATGAGCAACCTCAGGCCTGAGACTCATATTGGAACCAGAGAACCTGGCCCTTGAGGGACCTTTGACGAGAATAAGGAAGACAGGTGAGTGTGTACATACTAATCCTAACAATCCAGGCCACACCCCTTCCCAGAGGCACAGGGATCAGCTGTGTCACATGGGAGAGGATTTTTCTACCCAACCAGACTGAGAGAGTATGAAGGAAAAAGGAGAGATGTAAGCATTGCTAGCTGGGAACTGCTCTGTGTATGTTTCCTTATCTACAAAACTGCGATAACAATAGTCGCTAACACAACAGTGTTTGTAAAGATTAAATATCAGCATCTGCAGAGTGTTTAGCACAAGGCCTGCTACAAAGTAACTGCTCAATAATAATCATTATTGTTATCATCATCATCATCATCATGTATCATCACTACCAATACCAACATGATCATCACGCCATCCGATTTTTGCTCTTTCTGAGTCTGGCTGGAAGAAAAATCCCCAGAGTTCAAGTGTAGTTGGAGTTCATCAGTGTACAGGTCAACCGAAGGCATCTGCAGGCTCAGCACCTCCCCTGAGGTGGTGTGGCCTCCTGGGAAGCAGGACTTCAGGGCTCTAGATGCCCAGGGAATGGGAAAGAATTCCTCAACTTGATAAAGGACATTTACAAATAAGCTACAGTTAAGAGTAGCACAGACGGATAGGTGCTCAACTACCAGCCGAAAGGTTAGCAGTTCAAACCTACCCAGAGGCACCGTGGAATTAAGGCCTGGTGATCTGCTTCGGAAAGGTCACAGCCTTGAAAACCCTACAGAGCAGTTCTACTCTGCACACATGAGATCTACAAGTCAGAATCGACTTGGCAGCAATTAACAACAGCAATATCAACTTAACGGTGTGAGAATGATTGAATTGATGTATGTTTTGCTTTCCCCTAAAACCAGGAACAAGACAAGGATGCCTGCTCTAATTCTGTTCAACATTGTACTGGAGATTTCAGTTAGTAACATAAAGCAAGAAAAAGAAATAAGAACCATCCAGATTGGAAAGGAAGAAGTATACGTGTCTTTATTAGCAGATGGCATGATTGTCTATGTAGAAAATCTAATGGAATCTATTTTTAAACAAGCCACAGAACTAATAAGTGAATTTAGCAAGATTATAGATTACAAAATCAATATATAAAAATCCATATATTTCTACACACTAGCAACAAACAGTAAAATATTGGAATAAAAATACCATTTAAAATAGCATCATAACAGATTTAGGGATGACAAAGTATCTTTTAAAGTCCTGGGCACTCAACCCCTGAAACTACTGCCCTAAAATAATCTTTAAATCTTAAACCAAAAATATCCCCCTAAAGTTTCTTAGAACTGAAAAATAGTTTAGGTGAACTAGTAAAAAAATGCCTACCTTGAGCATTATTATGCTCTTTTAAGAGCTATCTATATGCATCATTCTGACAATAGCAACTCGAAAGATTAGATCAGAAGCTTAGGGGACAGTGAGTGTGTGTTGATGAGGGGAGAACAACTCAGAAAAGAAGGTGAGAATGGCTGCACGATTCCAGGAGTGTGAATAGTCACTGAACGGTACATGTGGGAAGTGCTGAGCTGGTGTATGATTTGCTGTGTATATTCTCAACAACCACCACAACATACGTAAAATTTAGGGGGAAAAAAATGAACTGGTAGAGGGAGGGTAAAATCCACGGACTCAAAACTACAAACCAATGGCTGACAGAAATTAAAGACCTAAATAAACAGAGAGAGATACCATGTTCATGGGTCAGAAGAGGTTCAACATTGTTACAATGTTAATTCTCCCCTAAACTGATATGCAGATTCAACACTCCCAATCAAAATCCCAGGGGGCATTTTTATTGAAACTGACAAGCTGATTCTAAAATTCATATGGAAATGCAAAGGACCTAGACTAACTACAACAACTTTGAAAAAGAACAATGTTAGAAACATTACCTGATTTCAAGACTTATTCTAAAGCTACAGTTATCAAGACAGTGTGGTACTGGTGTCAAGACAGACAAATAGAACAATGAAACAGAACATAGTGTCTAAAAATAGACTCATACCTATAGGGACAACTGATTTTCACCAAAATTCAGTGGGGGAAAGAATAGTCTTTTCAGCAAACAGTGCTAGAACTGGGTAACCATATGTTTTGGGGAAAATAAAAAAGAAGAAGAATTTTGTTCCATACCTCACGTCATATATAAAAATATAACTCAGGGTAGATGAAAACCTTACATGTTAAATCGAAAACCATTAAAAGAAGAAAGCATAAGAGAAAACCTTTGTGACCTTAGGTTAGGCAAAGATTTCTTTACTATGACACCAAAAACATGATCCATAAAAGAACAAATTAATAAATTAAACTTCATAAAAATTTAAAATGTCTGCTCTGAAAGATGCTGGCAAGGAAATTTTAAAAACAAGCCAGAGAAAATATTTGCAATTCACATATCTGATAACAGACTTGTATCCTAGTGGTTTTCAAAGGTCCCCATTCTACGATTAATGGGGCTTTGTTTAAGAGAGAGAGTCAGAGAGGATAAATAATAATCAGTAAGAATCTAAAGTTATACAGTAACCTGGTCAGTGGTTCTATAACTTCAGCATCACCTATCAAACTCCGAATCCAAACTCACTGCCGTCAAGTCGGATCCAACTCACCTGTAGGGCTTATGAAAATAGAGTTCTAGGTTCCATCCTCAAATTTCTGAATCAGTAGGGGCCTGTGAATTTGCATTTCTAGTAAGTTCCCTGGTGATGTTGATACTGCTGGCCAGGCTAGCACACTTTGAGAACAGCTAATCTAGACTAAACTAGAAATAATGTCAGATGAAAGATTTTCCCTTCAAAGGACAATTGCCCAATAAACCATGCTTATTAAGAAATAATTTGTTTTTTCCTTTTTTATTAGATAACTGTAACAGTTAATCAGAGTTTGTGATCAGCAAGAAAAAACAAACATGACATCACTCAGTTGGCATGATCCTAGCCTTGCCTCTTTGTTGAATACACATTTTGGTTTCCATAAAGCTTTTCAAGCTTCTAAGTCTGCCTTCCCTCTTCAGAATCTATTCTGGAAACTGTGCATGGCCTTGTACCAACTGTACCATAACAGCAACATGAAGGAAACCACTTTGCCCAACTGAAGCCCGTCAGCAGTCCCCAACCTTCCCCATTTCATGTCCCACCCCTGTGCAGGGCTGCCACATAGGCCTCACCATCCAAGATGGCCCATTGATTGTCAATCTCTGTATGTTTCAGGTAGGAGTCTTCGATGGTGGGGTCGTAGTCAGGCACAAAGATCTTCTGGAAAAACTGGATAGTGAGGGCACTCTTGCCCACACCCCCATCACCCACCACCACCAGCTTGTAGGTGGGGAGGTTGTCACTCGGGACAGCGCTGGTTGCCATGTTTCTGGTAGATCAGACCTAGGGAAGCAAGACATGTAAAATGAGGAGGCAGTTGAAAATATCAGATGTTAAGCCCAGGTGTGTGTCTGTGTGTATGTTTGTAGGGTTGCATAAAGAACAATTTGGTTATTGCCAGTGATGTAAGCCACTACCCAGGGCAGTTCACAAGATAGCTCCCTGGAAGAGCATTCCTGGGTAGCATGATCCTGAGCCAAGGGAGCAAAAGCTTGATCCCACCTCTGTATAGGAGAAAATAAAACCTCTCTGTGCTAGTTAGGAGGGGGAGAGGCACAGGTGTGTGTGTGTGACAGGGAAATTTAATGGATCATAAAAGGGGTGGGGCATGCAGTATAGTCAGAAGGACAACGGACTAGGTGTACTGAGAGTACTCTGCCACTCTTTGGTTGAATGACTCATGGGAAGGGCACTAACCTTAGAATTATAGTTTCCGTATCTACCAGATGGAAGTGTTGGATTAGGTGACCGCTACAGGTCTTTTTCGCTGTAAATGAATCCTCAATTCTAGTCAGATTTCATCAGAAGGGGTGTTATACACAAATGTGGGTTATGTGATCACAATGATCTGCATGGTAGAACAGGCGAGAGGCATTACAAAATCCTTTGCAAAGTTACTGAAGCCTGATGTTGACATTTAGGATTTCCCTTCAGTGTGGGGAAGTAGGTGCTTTTATATTCTGTGGGTGAGAGAGTCAATCTGTCCACACTGGATGGAGAATACCCTTTTATAAGCATGTTGTTGTTGTTGTTGTTATGTGCCGTCGAGTAGGCCCCAACTCATAGCGACCCCTCCTTGGGTTTCCAAGGCAGTATCACTATGGAAGTAGGATTGCCCAACCTTCCTTCCGAGGAGTGGCTGGTGGGTTTGTTTATAAGCATATCAAGATTTAAAATATAAATACCCTCTTTTGTACCTATACCACATGTGAGAATTTATGCTAAGGAGATAATCAGACAAGTGTACAAAGATGTTAAAATTCAGTAAAAATAGAAATAACCTAAATGTTGGTCAAAAAAATAGTTTACTCACATGATGGAATACTGTGCAGCCATTAAAAAGGCTGATAATCACTGAAAAATTATTGATTAAAAAAAAAACTAGGCTGCAAAATAGCCATCTATGAATTACTTATCCAGACATGCATCCACACAAAGAGGTTTGGCAGGTGGTTGTCTCTAAGGGAGATTTCAGGGAACTTTTTCTCAATTTTTTGATTTTCTACAAGAAGCATGTATTATACTTGTATATTACACTTGTATAATGGAAAAGTTTAGCAGACAAAAGAAAATGTTCAAAGCACCTGAAGACATGCAATTCCTTCTCATTCACACGGGGACTTAAGCTCCTTTGGTACATGATAGGAAGACCAATGCCTGCCGCAGCACAGCTGCAGTGTCTGGCTCCTGCATCTCCTCACAAAGATGTGAACAAGCCAAGCACTCTCAGACTGAGCACACAGCAAAGATGGCAGTTCGGAGGGACTGCAGGGGACTTGGAGGAAGTCAGTAAAGGGGAGAAAAGGGTGAGGCGAGCTCTCTCTCTTCTTCTCCTCCCGGGTCAGGGGACCTGGCTCCTCATTGTCCCCCATGTAACTTTTATCTTGGCCTGGAGTGGAGGTGAACTGTGTTGGACTGTGAAAGAGGCTGTTTTTAGAGCTTCCATTCTCTGCTGGCAGGACATGAATAAAAAATATTAAGGTGAGAGGAAAGCATGGAGAAAACAAATAATTTCTCTTGCATTTTCTTTTCAAAATAAAACAAGATAAATACACTAGTAAATATGATGATATGGGACATGAACCGCACCTTTGATTCAGGGCTCAAACCACCCACAGCAGAATCACCTGGGGACTTGCTCAAAAATGCCCTCTGCTCGCCAAGGCAGCTGGCAGGAAATGGTCAGTGAGCCCCTCCCATTACAGTGTCCTGAACTCTCAGAGTGGAGGCCCTGAGATCCCACAGGAGCTGAGTTGGGCTTCCCTTCCAACTTGGATTCAATGGAACAGGTTAGACCACACAGTTAACATAACAATCAGACTGGGTCCCTCCTGGTGTGAAATACCCTTAGTGCTGCCTACCCATAGCTGATGGGTCAAGTTCTGTTTACTGGACATTCTGTTCACCGGCTGCCACTGTTGACCTCTGTACTCACACCCACTCTGCAGCCCCTCCCATAGTTCCCTGTGGCCACACTGTGTCCTCTGCACACTCCCAGGACTGCTGGTAGTACACACTTGTCACGGGTCAGGACTGATGGGAGGCTTCCAGCCCTGCGGTTCCTGGTGCAGGAACCACCCTTATGCCTGGAATGTTCTACACAGTCACACTTGCACACAAGACTGCATCTTGTTCATCTCTGTACCACTTGAACCTGGCACAGCAATGGCACAGAACAGATGCTTGCTGAATGAACCAGAGGCTCAACGCTGGTGTTTCTGAACAACACTCAACCTATTAGCCATAGAACTGGCCCTCACTGTGCAGAGGGCTAAGTGGCAACTCTTTCTGCAAAGAGTTGGGGCTGTCTCCCTTCCCTCTACTGAGAGAGGTTAGAACTTTCAGTGAGGTCAGAAACAATCACACGGGACCCTTGTAAAAGCAAATGTGAGCCCAGGAAGAAAGAAGAAAGGGTTGTGAGGACGAGAATGAGTACAGAGAACCCACTAGTCATAAAGCCAATAGTCTGTACATTCTCTTCAAAGATTTGTTTTCAAGTCTTCTCCCCCTGCGCCCCCCCCCCAAAAAAAACTTAGACTAAATGATGTCTCTGTAAATGGGGTGGGGGGAGAGAAGCAGGCAAGAGCATACCACACCCCTACAAATAGGCTGATCTCATGTGATAGACAGGAAGATTTTTAAAAATTGTATGTCACCATAGGCTATGGTGAAAGTCACCACAGGATAAAAGGTTGGTTGGTGGTTAAGGCACAAACTGCTGATGCTCTAAATCTGCTGCCCTCCCCCACCTCAACCCTCTCAATTTAGAAGCAGGGCTTCGAACCAGTTCAGTCATGGCCAACACAGTGAAATAGGAAGGGATCTGACCAAATCTGTAAAATATGAGTATACCAGAAAATGAAAAATCATGGGTTGAAATTCTAGAATGAGAGATTTTTGGAAGAGGCATAGTGAGCCCTTTCAGGAACCTGATGTGGGAGACTACATTATTGCTAGGGCTAAAGAGAGTGACAAAGTGGGGTGACTGGCCACCATCTTCGAGCCAACCTATAGTTTCCAACTCTGCTGATCAAGAGATTTAGTTGCTATGCAATGCAGATGCTGTCCTTGTTTTCAAGACGGAGATTAAGTTTCAAGCAGGGCATCAATCCATAATTTTCTCATTCCAGTTATCATTCTGGGACATCCCCATCTTACGAATTCCAGTCTGTTCTGGTTTTGCCTTATAGGTCATGACTGAACAAGGAAAAACTGGTTCAAAGCCCAGCTTAAAAGGCATCTTAGAAATCATACTAGAATATTGGTTCTTCACCTTTTAGGAACAGGCCCCTTTGAGGTGATAGGCCTTTTAGAGACACCTGAGGTTCCACTTAAAATTTCTGCCCATATTTCAAGAAACCATAAGAGATCTACATAAATGGAAGAACATCCCATGCTTGTGGATAGGAAGATTGAACATTGTGAAAATGTCAGTTCTACCCAAAGCAATCTATACATTCAATACAATCCCAATCCAGATCCCATCAACAT